CTCAAAGAAAGCATATCTAAAAATAACCTACATGATGTCATTGGCAACACGATACCTGCTTCTAAAAGCTAACCACCAATCAGTTGCTACGCCTTTCAGCAAGAAAGTAGCAAGGTGCAGTTTCTTTTCCTCAAGACAGTCCATAACATCAAAAATACTTTCTAAAGTCCTCATCCATTCCTCAACATCAGCAGGGTTAGCAGTACCTACAAAATGTTTAGCATTGAGCTTAATTGTCCTTTCGATGCTAGTAACTCTATCTGGGTTGGGAAGAATATAGGCAATGATTGTAGCGAGTCTGTCGAATAAGGGATCATTTCAACCACATTACCCTATGTTGGTAGTTCCTACGTCTGATGAATAGATGCCTCACCGACATCTTCTTCTATAGGAGCATTTGGACTTTCAGGTGGTAGGTATCGATGTCTGCCTGCTTTGCCACTACGCATCGTAAACCTACAATATGCATAACAAGTTGAAAAATCATAATAAATACAACATATCCCAGAGATCTTAAACCATGCTCCGATACCAACTGTCACGACCCGACCCAAACTCCTTAATAGACTCAAGATGTAACGTACATCGATGATAAGTGCCAGCTTGGCACTGGACCCATCACCAAGGCAACTATAACTATACTTCGATTGTATGGCCTCCTTTAACCAACAGAAGTTTTTTTTTTTTTTTAATTTTAATAGAGTCTCCTTTAAAAATGGAACTAGTCTCAATCCTGTAACCATAAAAATTCTCCATGCATCAATATACCAACATCATAATATCAATCATACATCCAACCAAAAACATCTATATCACTATGCATCATAACTGCTTCTCAAAAAAGATAATAGTGATGCAGTTTAGTTTACAATATTCCATCGTGACTATTGGTACATTTAAATACAAAAATTCCCAAATATGATGCAAATGATTTGCTTGATGGTTACACTGTTCTAAGCGACAGAACTTACAATTGGAGGAGTAGTGGCTACAAAACTATCAACATAACCTTCACCACTGTTCAGTCAATTACCTCCTATAAGAAAGATATTAAGAAGATATATGAGATAATAATCCCAGTAAGTGGAGTGTTTAAAGAAAATGACTATAATCCCAATAAGTGGAGTGTTTAAAGAAAATGACTATACTGTACTTTATATATGTATATACATTTATTTAAAAATGAAAGATATTCCATTTATCTCACTGTACTCATTATTTTATTCTTGAAATTTGTATCATAACATCATACAAAAGCATAATGCTGGCGCTAAATCATAAATTAGACTCAAACTGATATCTAAAAATGATAATAAATGATACAACAAGATGACTAAGTACATTAGTCGAATTTAGTAAGTTAAAATCATAATCAGAAATCAAATCAACGAGCTGACCTGTAAACTGGAATATGTCAGCTGCAAGCTAAAAATCCACTATATACTGGATAATCACATCAATATATACCCCATGTAATCATCTACTCATAATCTGAAAGCTACAAAATCGTATGCACATAAACTGTCTAATCAACACTTCTGTACAATACCATAGCCCCTCAGTGCATGAAGTGAAAATAAACACAATAATCTATATGCACGGCTGTAGCCCCTCAATGTATAATAGGTACCTTTACACACGGTCGTAGCCACTTAGTGGATAAGAGTCGCCTTTATATACGGCTGTAGCCCCTCAGTGCATAAAGTGGAAATAACATAAACATCCATATACACGGCTGTAACCCCTCAGTGCATAATAGGTACCCTTACATACGATCGTAGCCCCTCAGTGGATAAGAGTCACCTTTATACATGGCTGTAGCCCCTCAGTATATACGAGTCAAATACACGACTCTAGTACACAGCCGTAGCCCCTCAGTGCACTAGAGTAAGGTGATTACATCGGGTATTTTCTGATGGTCTCAAGATAATCATGCTTATTTACTAATTTCTCGAAAAGAAGACATTTCATGTAACTAATATGCTTCTCTAAAAATTGGGAATCATGTCAACATTCATATTAAGTAAACATGATTATAAGTTTATAAATTCAAATTCTGGAAAAAATGTGTTCTCCACTCACAANACTCCAGTACATGGCCGTAGCCCCTCAGTGAATTAGAGTAAAATGATATTATCGGGTATTTTTTGATGGTTTCAAAATAATCATGATCATTTACTAATTTCTCGAAAATAAGACAATTCATGTAACTAATATGCTTCTCTAAAAATTGGAAATCATTTCAGCATTCATATTAAATAAACATTATTATAAGTTTATAAATTTATAAATTTCTTTTCGAAAAATATGTTGAGACTGAAATATATAAATCCCTCAATAACCCATACTTAACATCGAACTGAAAGATATAAATCCCTCAATAAGCAATAAGTTCAGACTTAATATTTCCATCTCACAAGGCTAACTTAAACATTAATTCACTACACTACGAATCACCCAATTTTCTCAACTCGCTAATACTAACTTTTCCCGACTGCCCCGGTGAGATTTAACAAGATTTTCATGTCAATAAACATCCACATTCCTCGTTTCAAATTTCTATTAACTAAATACATATGTCTCATCAAAAATCCATTTCTTAAAATCTCCATATTCATCCAAACTAATAACTCAAGTATAAGATAAGTTATTTTCAACCAGTCTAACTTAATATCGTGTAACAATCACAAGGAAAAATAGCAAGAATGTCAATTGTCCCCTAAATTTCGAATTAAGCCCCATAATCAAAGACCCTAATCTCCAATTATCATTCATTCCAATCCACTTGAATAAATAGCTCAAAATGCTCAAATAAACAAATTCCTTATCACATATATGTCAAGCATAAACTATAAATTAAAAACCCTAAATTTTTACCACAAAACTAACCACATTATATTTCGAATTTTCCTCAAAATAGGAGAAGAAATTGAGAACTCAAACCTTGATCTCGACTGTATCTTTATTCCTTTTTCTTTTCTTTTCCTTTCCTTTTTCCCCTTTTCCTCTTCCTCTTCTCGGTCTCTATCTTCTCTCTGCGGGTAGTGCATGTAAATGGGATGGAAAACGGGTTTAATTGTTAAATTAGTGTATATATTTACACTAAAGGTCCCTCATCTTCCAAACCAAATAACACTTAAGTCTTTTAATTCCAAACGTAATTGAGTGACTCCCTAACTTCTAATTTAATCCCATTGA